CCAATATAAGCTTTGTGCGAGTGTATCCACTTGTCTGAGCTACTGTCCTTGTCACTGGGACGCAATATCCAACACAAATGCATGAAAAGAAGAAAAGTTTATTTTGACTTGCACTTTGTAGAGGTTTCAGCTCATAAGCCCCATAATCCAGTCACCTTCAAGAAGCCTTGCCTCTGATCACATGAAGCCTTAGGGAGAAATGTAGATATAAACCGTAATAACACCATTCCTCTTTTTAAGAATATTTTTGTGTGCATTAATAGAATTATGTAAAATTTTTGAGGTCACATTACACATTTTTTGGAATTCTGTTAAACTTTTATTTTCAGGCTTTGTATTAAGCTTAACTCTTGTAAGAGTATTTTTTTTTTTTAAAAACTCTGAAAGTCTTAGTTTTTTAGTAAACACTTATACCCCCATCCCCCACACCTAGGGCCTTTGCACTTCACTATGTCTTCCACCTGCTCTCCCTTTTTTCTTTTGGAAACAAGGTCTCACTAAATTGCCCAGACTGAGCTTACTCTTGATGTCCTCCTGCCACAGCCTCCTGGAGTGCTGTGATTATAGGTGTATGCCACCACACTTGGCTGTGACTATTGATTTTCTTTCCCTGTCTGCCAGAATGTGAGAATACTTCCATCTTTTAAACGTTTTTTGTATTCTTTTTCAGTGATTATTTAAATGTGTAGTTTAAACAAAGTTTCATCAGGATTTATTTTCTCCAGAACATACTTTCTGCCTGCCACACTCCTAAGGTGTTGGCACCCACATATTAGCTACAGCTTATTGTGTAATATATTTCACTGACTTATTTACTATTTTTGTATCCAACTGATCCTTGCTAGGTTTAATTTTCTTTTGGAATATACCTTTATTAGTAGTAATAATATACCTGACATTTACTATGTACCAGTCATCATTGTAGATCAGGAGCTGTCAAACTATGGGCCATTGTCCAAATGGCCTGCCACCTTGTTTTTGTATAGCTCACAAGGGAATACTGAGTTTCAGTTTTAAATGGGAAACAAAATAAAAGAATCTTTTTATGTTTTGAAAATTATATAAAATTCAGATATCAGTGTCTGTAAATCAAGACACTGTGTTCCTTTATTGGAACATACCTGTGCCATTTGTTTACATGTTATTCATGTCTGCTTCCATGGTAGGGTGGTAGAGTTGATTAGTTCCAGCAGAGACTATATACAGCCTGCAAGCTCTAATATATTGACTCTCAGACTGTTTATAGACAACTTATCAATTTTAAATATTTTCAGCATTTTAGAGATACTCAGTTATTTTCTGGGTTCCATTTTTTAATAAGCTCTTTTATTACTGTGCTTCTGAAGGTAGTACTTCCACTTCTGGGATTTTAGTAGTTTTATTATGATGTGCCTAAGTGTGGGTTTTTAAATTCTACTTGGGGTTAGTGGTGTTTTTTGAAACTGTGGCCTAATGTGAGCTGTTTTGGAAAATTCTCATCCATTACCTCTTTAAATATTGTTTCCGTGCATTTACCTCTCTATATTAGGCCTTTTAACTGGTTCCTTGTGTCTTTTAGGCTCTTTGATGCATTTGCCATCAATTGTTGTTTCTGTTGTCTGGATTTTTTTATTGACATGTTTTCCAGTTCACTAATCATCTTTTCTATTTCTGTGGCTTGGAAGGGCTAGGAGAGCCTTACTTGTGTCTGATAATTTGTTTTATAATTGAAAGTACGTGTTCTGCCTTGAAATATTCTAAACTTGTTTAACCTTGTTGGGTGTCACAAAAATTACTTATGTGAGCTTCATCACTGCACTACAGTGGTAACATCAAATGCTGAATGTTTATGTGCTTCTCTCTCTGTACACGCTTTGAGAGCACACTGTTCTCTTAGTTTTAGATAGTGATCAAAATGACAGTGCCAGAGACAGGAGAATCTGAATGAAT